TAAGTTTTTTATTTATTTATTAAATTACTTTAAAATCATTTTTAATTCGACATATAAATGATTTGTGTTGTCAAATTTATAAATACAAATACAGCCTTGAATTTTTGTTTTTTGTGTTTGTTGTTTATTTAAAAATTGACAATACAATATTATTTATAATATAATAATAAGTGTTATTAAATGTTTTTTTAATTATACAACAAAAATTATTGTTATTTATGATTCTAATAATTAAAAAATTATAATTTTGTCAAAATTGTTTAAATATGCTTTTTTAGCTTGATGAAAAAGTTGGAATTATATGAACACTATTATTTCGTTTTTTGATAGACACTTTTTTGTTTTGACTTTTTGAATAACAGTCACTTTTAAATTTAAAAATAGAATTTTATTATTTAAAAAAAAGAAATAAATTTAAATAGTTAATGATAATAATTTTTATAGATGTTTTAAAACAATGAAATAAAACACTCAATTGCAACGATGACAACAATGTAAACATTAAAATAGAACTGTGAAAAACAAAAGGTGTTTTATTTCAAAAATAAAAAAGTATTTATATTTTTTGTAAAATATGACTTTTATTTATATTTTTGAAATACTTTGATTTCATTATTCAAATAAAAATACAATACAAACGATTGGATAACAAAAAGAGACACAATGGCGTTGTTTCGATGATTTTATAAATAATAGCATATACGACACAATTCCGATTTGATAATAATAAAATGAAATTTTGAAATAATGTCATTTCAAACAAGTAAATTACATTAAATAAATAATAAAACCATGAAAGAAGTAAAATAGAGCATTCAAAGATCCAATTTGCACATTGTATTAATAGACTAATGGTGATATTAATAAATAAAAAATGGGAAATTCAAAAATAGAAAGAATAAACAGTATATAAAGCAAGAATTAAATAATTAAACACATTGATTGAAAAATGGCTAACTGTAGTAACATTATCGTAGTTTCTCGAGAAATATGTCGTGTTTAACCAAATGGGCATGTCTAAAATATACAAGCTTACATTTCATTGCTTGTATTACTCTGTATGTTTATCTTATACAACAATCACAGAATTAAATCACACCAATTACGCAACATATACTAACAACATTGTGGTAAAAGAAAAAATAACAAAAATGAAAAAATATTCTCTTTAAGTTGAAAAAGTGACAAACAATATATTATTTCTCAAACTTATTGAAACTATGGCTAAAAATACAATAACAACAGAGGCGTTATTTTTAAATATCTAACAGAATTGACAAAAACAAATATATTCTTCTATTTTCAACAAGTAGACTAAGTGCCCTTCCCCATTTGGTTAAAAATCGTTGTAATCATCAGCACATTGGTTGTTTCGATTTATTTTAACATTTAAAGTATTAACCACATAGAACGTAATCATTCAACGAAACGCCGGCTGAACAGAGTCGGCAACCAATACAATTGATTAAAATATGTCCACTCGAAAATAGCTATTGCCATCGTGACTTTTTTATGTTGATAAAAGAGTCCCTCTTTGTTGTTTAAATAAAAAATGGACTGTATAAATAAAAAAATAATTAAATAAATTAATAGCGCTTATACGGCATGATATAACAGTCCAGACAACAAATTATAGGGGTATGAGCGCTTTTATTTATAATATTTATATATTATAAATAATATACAAAAAATAAGAAATGTGTAGAAGAAGAGAAGGAGAGAGTCACTTGGATATTTTGATTGATTGTATTGTTCGTTCATTTGTTTCATTATTGGTAAATAAATATAATTAAATAAGTGAAATAATAGTTTAAAAATAATTATAAAGAAAGTAATAAATGTCAAATTGAATTTTTAATTAACAATAGTTAAAACCAACTATACATATAGTTTTTTAATTTTAATCAATAATATTTTGAATCAATGTAAAAAGAGTCTTTTTGTTGCACAAATGACCAATCAATTTAGTGTACGAAAAATAACTTTTGTTTTTGAATCTGTGCTTTTTGTTGAATTTAAACCAATTTTCACTTAAAATAAAATTTAATTTTAAAACAATCTTTCTTTAAAAAATTCTTTTATTTTGTTGTTGTTATTTAAATGAATTTTATAAAAATATTTTCATAAAGATAATTTTATGAGTTTTATTTTAAAATGTTATTTGAAAATGTAATCCTTTTGCAATATTTTTGGAAAGTTCAAAATTTTAGAAATTTCTGAAAAAACAAAATGCCGAATTTATGACAGACGTTTTTTTGAATCTGTTTGCCGGACTATGCCACAATGACTTAAAGCCCTCAAATACTGCACTTGTAACTAATAATAGGTAGTCAGTTTTTTATTCATATTAACATTATTTATTTTAAGTGTTTTAGAAAATAACAATTTTATTTTATTTTTGTTATGTTACAAGTCTCTTGTTCACTATTTGATTGATATATTATTATCATGTTAATTATTTGATTTTAATAAATTTATTAATATTTATAATAAATAAACAATGATATTTTATTTGTTTTTTTGTAATTTTTCTCAACCATTGTGACTATTCAATTTACCTTTTGTTGATCAAGTGATCAGCACAAAGTCATGTTTTATCATTTATCACGTTAATAATTAAAACATTATTATTATTTATTCTTCATATAAAACCAATCTTAGAATTGTAGTCAGTCAGGGCTATATATTCAAGTGTTGTCACGTGTCTTGGAATTACCAATTGTGTTTTGTATTAATTCACTATAAGTTTCGGAATAATCCCGTTTATTTAGCCAAAATAATTATAATTCAATTAAAAACACTTTCAGACTCTTATAAAAAGATGTGTAATTTTAAATTACACATGTTAATTTTGTTGTGGTTTATGTTTTAAGTAAAATTTTTATTCTCGTTATATTACCACTTAAAACATAGGTTTAACGTTTAAGTATCATTATAATACAATCATATGATTAGAGTTATGATATGTCATGTTTATTGTGTTTTAAAAAGATGTGTTCGAGAAAAAAACACATCTCATATTTTTTTTTCTTGTTTTTTTAATAAATTATTAGCCCATCATTACTATTGAAATGATGTTTGGTTAAAAAACATGTTTAATGTTTCATCATTTCTTAATTTTTCAGAATAGATTTATGAAAAAGACAATTCAAAAAGATGGTTTTACAAGTTTATAACATGTTTTATTGGTCAAAACAAAGATTCTTTTTTTTAATAAAAATTTATTTAAAAATAATGAATTTTTTTCTCTTTTTCTTGTAACAATTATCATGTTTTTTGTTTTTATTGTTATATGTGTAGTGCAATTGTGTCACAGGTCTTTAGTTAAAATGAGTTACTTTATGACCAGGTGAGTTAATATTTATAATAAATAGTATAATAAATATAAATTGTTTATAAAAATACCTATTTATTATTAAAAAATCTTAAAATATTTGTTTTAAAAAACAGTAAAAAACACCAAACACCAAATTCAAACTTATTATTCAATGAACTAAAAATACAATATAATATGAACATAAACATTAAACCTTTTGAAAAAAAACGTTAAACCAAATTCAATTTAAGTTTGATCAAATTACATGTCATAATATGTTGTTTATTATCGAGTTGAATAAAGACACCGAGGATAAAAAAGTAAAAACAATTGGCTTAATGTTTGAAGCCGCAAAAGACAATTCAAAGAATCTCGACACGCGTTTCTATTAAAGATAAAACAACATTTATAAGAAAACAAATCAAAGCACTCAACGCCAAGTCTTAACAATTAAAACCAATGTACCAGTTTACATTTTTGAGCAAATATTTTTGCTTTGCTCAAGAAGTATATTGCTGAAATCATAGTATGAGCCGAAACTATTAAAAAGAACATCCAAATATCTCAACAAGAAAAGATTAAGACCATGAAAGACTAAAATGTCCATTAGAAGATTCAAAAAACAAAGAACTTAAATAAAATGGGATAATGCGATAAATTTGAAAATAATATTTCTGAATGGAGACCAAATTGATAATACTTGAACAAGTTGACAAAATTACAAACTATAAAAAAAACGTGTAGGTAATGAAGTCAACTGTTTCATTTTCTTCCATCTGTGGAACGCCAGTTATTAAACACTTGTAAGTGCGCCTTTGCGGTTTCATCAAACAAAACAATGCTGTATGGTATTCTTCTGACTGCTCTGCAAGTGCCTTTGCAAGCTCCGTCTTGCCAACACCACTTGATCCAATGAACATGAATGACTTAGTTGGTTATTTGTCTGAGAAAGGACAACTTCTGCCTCTCAAAAGAGTTTCAGAGATTGCAACCACATCCTCATCATGCCCAACAACTTGTGTGCAGCTCGTCCCCAAGTTTCAGGAGTCTTGTCGTCTCGCTCTGTGTCATGCTGCTTACTGGGATGCCCGTCCATTTGATCACCACATCATCTATTATCTGTTATATCATTTGCATTGGTAGCATTGGTGTTTCTTTTGTCTGTTCTTCAATTTTATGAGTCGCTTTTACCTCCTGAATTGCGTGACACTTCATGTCTGCAGCAACGTCAAGATCTCTTGTTGTCTGTATTAGCTCTCTCTACCATCTTCTATGGTGTCAGTTGTGTCTTTTCTTTTCAAGTTTATGATCTCCTCTGGTTGCGAGTTTCTTCTGTGTTAAGAGTGTTGCTGACGCCACCAAATTGGTTACATTGTTGCGCGAGTGTAGCATTGATGTATCTCTTTGACAGCGACGAAGCTGCAACAAAAGCATGTACACTGCTGAGGCTCATAGTGGCTTTCTCCTGTTGTACAGGCATACAAGACAGTGTTTTTTTTTCTATG